GAGGAGCCGTCTGAGTTTGATATCTTAGCAGTCTGTTTCGTTCTGGCCATCACGTTCTGCATAGACACAGATACAGTCGGACTTTGTATAAAGGGCAAAGATGGGTCCAGAAAAGGGCAGGCGGCACTCCTAGTCCTAGATTCAGCCGTCCCCGGTGACCGGCTGATCACTAACTTAGGTCGTGTCGTGTGCTTCCATGGTGCCATTTCAAAAAATAAAAGGAAATTAAGAGTAAGAGAACTCAGTTACCTGAACGAGTGACGGTTGATGAAGTCCTGGAAGTTCGGGTCAGTCGGCTTGTCAGAACAGGCGGTAGGCAGAAAAAGTCCGAAATGTCAGAGCAAGTTCAAGGGTCCGGATGTTCTCGCAAAGTTCTCAAATGTGAAAATGACCGAAAGTCAGTACTTCCTTATATAGGCAAGGTGAGAAGGCGAAAGGTCGCTTCCAAATTCAAAATTTGGGCGGGAAAATCTCTCGGCCGTTTGCAAGGTGACACCTGTAACAGGCCGTCGCCTGTCACCGTGCGACACCTGTCACAGGCGACACGTGACCAGTCACGTGCCACCTGTGAGGGGCAAATGATTAGGGGATTTTTATCCACCAATCACCGTCTGACAAGTGGACCAACCAGGTTCCGCCACGTGTCCTTCACGAAGGACAACAGGAGCCTGCCACGTGTCAATCACAGATACGTCCTCTACGGACCACTTTAGACACGCCTCGTGTCCACCCATGCCAAATGGGAAAACCGGCCATCAAGGCCCAATCCAGTCTAGAGGCCCGATCAGCCCTAGGTTTACCCTAAACCTAAAGAAGTGGCACGCTTCTCAAGGCTATAAATACTTAATTAATCCTCATTAATCACACGATCGAATAATCAAGAAATCAAGCAGAGAAGAACAGAGTTATTAACAACCGGCTAATCTCGCTAACGACGCAGATTACCAACACTAAGCACTCTCACCTAGAGAGATCTCATTACTTTAATTTCTGTATTAATTACTCCTTAATCAGGTACTAACTTGACCGTTGGAGGCGGAGCTCTCAGGAGTCTCCGTTATTTTGCAGGTACAGGCGTCCGGTTCCAGTCTCGGAATTGTAACTCTCCCGCAGGACATCAGAAAACCCCGAAACAAGCCCCATTTACTGTCTTGGACATGTAGTAAATCACATGAAGCTTCTTATCCACACGTTGTCCCAAAACACCTCCAATTGCCCAATCACTAGCATCACACATCAATTCAAAGGGTAGATTCCATCTCGGGGCTTGAACGATGGGGTAGAGATTAGAGCCTTCTTTAACCTATTAAATGCCTCCAAGAATTTACCATCAAACACAAATTCAACATTTTTTTGAAGAAGATCATTAAGGGGCTTGGCAATGAGTGAGAAATCCTTGATGAATCTTCTATAGAAGCCCGCATGTTCCAAAAATGATCTCACTCCCTTGACATTCACCAGAGGTGGAAGCTTCTTAATAACCTCGATCTTAACCTTATCCACCTCTATTCCTTTATGAGAGATTTTGTGTCCAAGCACTATTCCTTCTCCCACCATGAAGTGGCACTTCTCCCAATTCAAAACAAGATTAACCTTCACACACCTTGCCAAACATTTCTCAAGATTCACAAGGCACTCTTCAAATGAAACCCCACCTACGGAGAAGTCATCCATAAACACCTCCATTTCTTCCTCCAACATGTCTCTAAAAATGCTCATCATGCACCTTTGGAAAGTTAAGGGGGCATTACAAAGGCCAAAAGGCATTCTCCTATAAGCAAAGGTCCCATAAGGGCATGTAAATGTTGTCTTCTCTTGATCATCGGGGTGGATTGGGATTTGGAAAAATCCCGAATAGCCATCATGGAAACAATAGAACTTGTGCCTTGTTAGTCTCTCAAGCATTTGATCAATGAATGGAAGGGTAAAGTGATCCTTCTTAGTTTATGTATTTAGACGTCTATAGTCTATACACATCCTCCAACCGGTGACTATCATATTCGGAATGAGCTCACCTCTCTCATTCTTGACTATGGTCATACCCCCCTTCTTAGGAACGACATGAACGGGAAAGACCCACCTAGAACTTGAGATGGGGAATATGATTCCCGCATCTAAAAGCTTAGTGATCTCTTTTTTCACCACCTCTCCCATTTGGGGATGTAGCTTTCTTTTTCGTTCAATAAAAGGAAGGGTGCCTTCCTCAAGCGTTATGTGGTGTGTACACAAAGCGGGGCTTATACCCTTAAGATCGTCAATAGTATAGCCCAAAGCACCTTGGTGCTTTCTCAAGACACAACATAACGCTTGAGCTCGGCTTTCACTCAAGGATGCACTAACAATTATGGGGTAAGTGGAATTTGGGCCTAAGAATTCATACCTAAGGTGTGATGGTAGAGGTTTGAGCTCTACCATAGGCAGACCTTTACCTTCTTTTGTTGCGGCCGCTTGCAAAGCTTCTTGGCTTGAGATCTTCAAGCACATTTGTTCATCCACTTCCTCCATGCTTCCATTAAGCAATTCCTCATACAATGCCATCTCCTTGCATGGTACACCTATCTTATCTTTGTTCAACATAACATTCTCAAGAGCATCGTTAAAGGTGAGAAAGTGCTCATGCATGGAAGACACACCTGACGTGGGGTGAACTCGGGTGTTGGACTAATCCTCCCTAAGCCAAACAAAATTGATAAACACTTAACTAACCTAAATACAATTATAGAGGTAAGTCAAGGGTTGAACCCAAAGGAACGGTAATGTCTAAGTGCTTTCAATTTGGGTGCCTAAGCTAGGTCAAAGACGAAGGAAAGGAGGTGACACTAACAACTACTTAAATGAAGAAACCAAACAAATAAAGTGCTAGGGATTAGGATTCACATATAATAGTAATGAACAAAGAAAATTGGGATAGGAAGTTGACTAAGTCGAGTGATGCGAGGGAAAACCAATCATGCAACCAAAAGAGCATATCAAGCTATTTTGCTAGAGGTCTAACTAGTGTCAACTACGATTAACTCTAGCTAGGAACGTCAGAAGACACCTCAATCGTTAAATGCAAGCCACAAATCAATGGTCCGTATCAATGTGAACCTACAATGCAATCTATTGTTAATAACTAGGGTGATCAAGCCTAAATCAAACACACACATGCACATAATCAATCAATCAATTTAATCACATCATCAACTCCATCAATTATCCCCCAATTAACATCAATCCATCATATCATATAAGCTTCACCATCACCCTAGCAAGCAAACTACTCTAGCAACATCATCAAATCAACAAACAACTATTGAAAACAAGAATCAACAATCTAATAAGAACAATTACACTAATCAAAGATCAAACAACAAAATCAAACCAAAATCAAATCAACCAAACATGAATATTAAACAAAACAATAAATGAGATAGAGTTTAGAAATGCTCATTGATAATAGAAAAGTTCTCTAATAAAATTGTCACCATTGAATCTTCAATCTCACAATCACCATTGAAATTCCTCACTTTCTCTCTCTAAAATATACTCCTAAAACTAACCCTAAAACTAGAGAGAGAATCTCTCAACTAAGCTAAGAATATGATCAAAATCTAATATGAAAACTTATTCTAAACTTGCCCCAAAAATTAAGTTACAAAGATATTTATAGAGGCGCGAAAACACCAAAAACCGAGCAAAAAATACCCAAGGAGGCGCGCCCGCACCATGGGGAGGTGCGCCCACGCCACCTTGTGGTGCGCCCGCACCCGAGCGTTGTGCGCCCGCGCTTCACTGGGTTTCTTCGAAATTCTCGCGGCTTCGTGCGTTAGCTAAAGTCGTGCGACTATGATGATGATGAACACTAGGAGTGGCAGTAGCTAAAGCTCTAGATTAGTGGGTACACCACTTCTTAATGGTAGCACGGCATGAGAGCGCAAGAGCCAAGACTTGGAATTTCCACTTCCTTGCATCTTGAGCTTTCCAAATGCCATGAGCTTGCTCCAAAGGCTTTCTCCACCTTAGTAGATCACCAATATCAAGACCCGAACCTCGTACAATACCTACAACCACGGAAATAGAGCAAATAAAGGAGAAAATGCTAGAAAACCAACGAAATGCACAAAAGCTATAAAATAAGAGTGGAAAGGTAAAACTAAGCAACAAAGCATAAAACTAAGCATTTATTAAGCAAGAAAGCTATGAAAAGAGGATGAAAACAACCTATATGCTCATCAAATGGTTGCCATTTATGACACCCATCAACAACATGATCAAGTGAGTCAATCATCATGCAATTTTCTAGAGAAGAACATGGATATTTCATGCTTTCATTCAAATCGAATTCTATGACCTCATCTCCTACCTTAAGCGAAATCTTTGCACCCTTGACATCTATCATAGCACCCGAGGTAGCAAGAGAGGGTCATCCTAAAATGATAGGTATGGTAGCATCTTCATCCATTTCAAGTACAACAAAATCCACCGGGAACACAAACTTCCCAACCCTCAATGGAACATCTTCCACTTTACCTTTTGGAAACTTGATTGACCTATTGGCTAGTTGCAAGGTAATGTTGGAAGTTAAGAGTTCCCCTAGATCAAGTCTTTGATAAACCGAATATGGCATTAGGCTTACACTAGCTCCTAAGTCACATAGGGTATTATCAGTTTAATTTGCATCTTGTTAATAGCACAAGGGATAGAGAAGTTTCCAGTCTTTCAACTTGGGTGGCATTTTGTTCATGATGATCGCACTACAATTCTTGGTCAAGTTGATACTCTCCACAACCTCACAAGTCATTTTCCCACTCAAAATTTCTTTGAGGAATTTGGCATAGTTGGGCATTTGGTTAATCACATCGGTGAAAGGTAGAGAAAGGTGAAGTTGTTTGAGCATATCAATAAATCTCCCAACTCATCCAATTTGTGTCTCGTGAATTTTTGGGGATAAGGGAGCTTAGGTTTCACAATTTCTTTCTCTCCTCTCACCTCTCTAGGTGTCTCAACCACAACCTCATTTAAAGATGCTCTATCTCCCTCATTCTCAACCAAAGCATCCTCGGGGACCTCCTTGTCTTCCTCTTCCTAGGCAATCTCTCCTCAAGAACCTTACCATTCCTTGTAACAATAGCATTCACGGGTTTCTTGGGATTTAGGCCCTGGGAAGGTAAAAAAGTAGGGTTTTCTTGGTCTTTCAAAGCATTAGCAAGTTGAGAAATTTGGTTTTCGAGCATTTTGTTATGGGTCATCATCTCATTAAATTTCTTGTCACTAATGGCCATGTATGTGTTCAACAACTTGGTTTGATTTTTAATTATATCCTCCAAATTAGTCCTAGAATAAGAAGGTTGTGAATAGGAATTTTCACCTTGAGTCTTTGAAACAAATTCGGGTGGGGGACCCCTTTGAGAACTATTTTGAAAATTGCCTCTACCTTGATTGTTCCAATTACCCCTATTTTGATTTTGACCATAACCTTGATTATGGTTTCCACTACCTTGGTTATGATTTCCATATCTTTGGTTTTGATTACCATAATTTTGGTTTTGATTTTGACTACTATAACCTTGATTGTTATAGTTACCACGAGAACCTTGGTTCCCTTGGTTCCTATAACCACCACCTTGGTTATAGTTGTCAAAATTAACTTGGTTTTGGTAATTCCTATTCCATTGACCCCTTTGATTATCAAACCTTTGCACATTATTATTTGACACATAGTTCACATGCTCACTCTCATTGTTATCAAAATCATCACCACATTCTGGAGAAGCGTGAGGGCAATTACAAGAGTCATGATCATAAGATCCACATGCATCACAAAACAAGCAACCACTAGGCATATTATTTGAGGAGGGAAGGGGTTGACAGTTAGAAAGAGTACCTCTCCCCTTAAATTGGGAGGGAAGATTCGAAGCTTGAAAAGAAGAAGAGCTTTCCAATTTAGCCTTGATTGCGGTCATTTCTTTTCCCAAGTTTGTCATTTGGGAGGAGAGGTTGTTGATCGCATTTAGATGGTAAATAGAGTACACCGAAGAGCCACTCTTGCTAGTTGAATCCCTCTCACCATCTTGCCAATCTCTATAGTACTTCACCACATACTCAATAATGTCCACCACTTCTTCCTCCGTTATATTCATAATGGGACCTCTGGTTCCCCAATCATGGCATGATTTGCCTTGCGGACTTAGGCCACCATAGAAAATTTGAATGACTTGATAGTTTGGAATTCCGTGGTGGGGACACTCCCTTTGGTACTCTTTATACCTCTCCCATTCTTCGTAAAGGCTTTCATTAGGCCTTTGCTTGAACCCTTGAATCAAAGCTCTAGCCTCCGCCGTTTTCTTTTGTGGGTAAAACCAGGACAAGAATTTCTTGGTGACTTTGTCCCATGTTCTTAGAGAGTTTGGCTTTACCTCCTTGTCCAACCACTCCAAGGCCCGGCTTATGAGAGAAAAGGGAAACAACTTTAGCCAGATGAACTCTTGAGAAACTCCGTTTACTTTAATAGTATTGCAATACTTCTCGAACTCTTTAAGATGATTCAACGGACACTCATTCTTAGCTCCACTATATTGTCTCCTCTTGATCAAGGCGATCATAGCCGACCTAATTTCGAAATCATTCGTCGGTGTTGTAGGTGGATGATATGTCCATTTTATATAGTAATTTACCCTCGTCCCTTGGTCATAATTAGTAGTGTTTTTGGCTATTTCGAGCCACTTTTATTACTAATTTGTGTTTTCTAGTGTTTTCGTAGTTTTAGTTGTATTTTACAGGAAATTGCACTTTTGGAGCATTTTCCCAGGTTTTATGGATCAACTACGGAAGCTAGAAGGACACGGCCACTTTTGAAGCCCGGGATCGGTGAGAGCCGATGATTAAGGGCTCGGTATGAGACACTGAGGTTATTGGATTGTTTAATTAAGACTCGACGAGGAAACTTAGATTGTGCCGAGGAATTGAGCCCAATCGAAATCCGAGCCTCGAAGAAGAAGGCCGGGCCCGATCGGGCAAGCTTGCGCCCGATCGGGCGGGCGCGCATAAGAGAGCACCAACAAGAAGGCGCGCCCGATCGGGTGAGCGTTAGCTTGATTGGGCGCGGCTGCCCAGGTGGATCGTGAAGAAAAAGGCGGGCCCAATCGAGCGCGTGTTTTTATTGGACCTGATTAGTTTAGTTTTAATTTTTATTTTAGGGAATGTTTAAGTACGAGATTTGTTCGTAATTTTTTATTACCTTCTCTTTTAGACTTTCTCTCTCTACTTAGGATATTTTCTCTCTCTTAAATTCTCCCTAAACTTTTGTTCTTAATTACTTCCATTAATCCAGATTTCTTTTGGTAACAATTTCTTTTCTTTTAATTTCAGCTATTTTACTTACCTCTTTGATTATGTTTTACTTTATTTATTTGATTAGTTTAGTTATGATGATGCTTGAGTAGTTTTATTTCTAGGGTTTATGGGGATCTAATAAATGATATTAAAGGGTAATTTGTGATTGTTAATTATCAATGCTTGATTAATTTCCTATTGATTAATTTAATGCTATGCAATTAGGTTTGGCCAGATTTAATTGTATGAGTTTAGCAATATTAATTCGATATTTGACAGATGAGAATTGATGTTTAGGCTTAGTTTCGACAGATGAGATTTAATACCGGTAAATTAACTCTGTGTATAAAATACGTAGCGAAAGCCCTTTATAATCTGATTAACCAATGCTTGATGATTGCTTATTATGATTTGCCCTGGAACATTGTTTATTAGTGAACCTATGCCCTAGGTCTTTTAATATTTGATTTTCCCCTACTTTTTTTTCTTTCGACCTTTTTCTCCGTAGTATATATTTTATTCACAATAATATTGGGTACTTAGATAATTTAGATTATAATAATTAATTAGGAATAGAAAGACTTGTTTCCACGTGGAGTTCGACCCTACTTCCCTATCTACTGTAGTTAGAGGACTTAGGTATTTACTTTTGATTAGGGGATACGACTTTACCCTGTCAGTGGAGCAATTCCACTCTCAAACTTGTACGCACCGAGAATTCCCAATTCTTTCAAAGCAACTCTCGGGTGTTCTCCCATGCCTAGTTCTTCTTCAAATCCTTCTTCGCTTGAGAAACTAAACTTCACGGATCGACTAGCAATTCTTCTCCTTGAGAGTGTCCTTTCGATTTTCGGGTCAAAAGGCACAATGGATCGATCACGAGATCTATGTATGCAAAAATCAATGAAAATATTAGTAACACGGCTACAAATGTAGCCTAAAGAAAAAAATCTTTTTGTATTTTTCAATTAAAGTGAAGTAGACTCAACAACTAAAGCAAAGCACCAATATCACTCCCCGGCAACGGCGCCATTTTGATAAAGGAATAAACGCATCGTCAATTGTCTATCCCTAGATCAAATACAATTTATACAACCTAAACAAACCTAATACGAGTATAAGGCAAGTCGAGGGTCGAACCCAAAGGAGTGAGTCGGTATTAACTATAGCCTAATTCAAGCTACTTCGAAGATTGTAGTGAGAAAATGGTTGATACTATGGTAAAAAGCTAGATTAATCAAGTAATTCAAGAGGCTAAACACTAGGGGTATAGGTTCCACATGCAAGTTCAATAATCATGCTAATTGATAGTTCATTCAATTGATTCAAGCATTGCAAAGGACAAACAATATTAGCAATTGAAGAATTTAAAAGCTATCTCCTATAGGCCAAGCTAGGGGTCATTATGAATGGCTAATCAAGGAAAATCACAATCAAACTCAATCAATTAAAACAATTCTCAAATTGATGGTTCATGTCATTAAGAATTGCAATGCAATCTAGATTAATCTTATAGGTTGATCACTCCTAATCTAATTAATCACATGCAAAACCATGTCAACCAATTTATTGCAACAATTTAATCAATCAATGATCATCAACTAGCAAAAATCATCAATCAAGCATGCTTCCCCTTCTCCCTAGCAACTAATCTACTCACTAATCATGGTGTAACTCAAGAACAAATCACTAGAAATTGCATTGATCATCATTCTAAATCAAAATCAAGAGAAAACAATATTAACTACAAAATCAAATTCAAATCCAAGGAAATCAAACAATCACACATGAATCTAAGACAAACAAGTAAAGAGATGAACTAAATGAAGTGATTCTAACCAATATTAATGATTGAAGATGAAGAAATCCAAACTTGATTGAACCAATGTTGAAATACAAATCCAAATCCAATAACTTCTCTCTAACTTCTCTCTCTAAAACCAAGCTAATGAAAATTATCTAAAAGTTGGTTTTCAAAAAGGAATTACAAGTCTGTTTATAAGCAAAGAAGGAAAACAAGTTCCCCGCGCCCTCTCTAAGGAATCCCGCGCCCGCGGGGAAATGGGTTTGGAACCCATAACAAACTCTGCGGGCTTTCTGGCCAACACCCGCGCCCGCGGCAAAAGCCACCGCGCCCACGGCAAGGGCGCGGCAAATCCCCTGCTCCCAAAGAGTAATCAAAGGCCCGCATTCTCTCTAATATGGAGCGCTCTCTCCAATCTACTCGCGCCCGTGGGGAGCCCTCGGGGTCACCGCGGGGAGTTCCTGGTCGATTTTACTGTATTGGTTCAACACAACCCGCGCCCTCTCCAAGCCCTCACTGAGCAGATTGCTTCCTCCTTAGTTAATATAGCTCATCTTGATCCTTTTGCAAAGACAACTCCTAGGTACCTACAAGAGCAAACAAAGGAAAGGAATAAAAGGGAAAAAGAGCCAAATAAAAGGAAAACACGAAGAAAACACGGAAAACACAAAGAAAGAAGGAAAAAGAGGAACTAAAGGAAAAAGGACCAAAAAAAAGAGAAGAAAGCATGAAAAAGGGATGAAATCATCCTAAAAGACTACCTTATGAGTGCCATAAATGACACTCATCAGCAGCCACATGCGCTGCCACATGGTGTGCTGCCACGTGGCACGATCCTATTTGGCACGCTTCCTTAGCCTTTCTCGTGGCTAGGGTTTTAATTGTTACTTGAAGCATTTTCCTATCTCACCAATTCCTAAATTTTGGCTTGACTTTCGACTCTCGGATTCGACGCTTCAAGCTCGAATTTCCGACGTCTAAATACTAATTACTCAGGTGACTCATTAATTCCTTCCGAATTAATTCGTCGCATCGGTTCGATAGTTGCTTGGGTGTGACCCAAAGGGTTCAGTCAAGATTAAGCTGTAGTATTAACTATACATTAATATTACTGATCGGAAGCGGCCTCCACCCAGACATTCCGATTACTTGACCTCCCTGAATAATTAGCTTTATAATAATTCCCAACCCTCTATCAGAATAATACACTTGTTCGAAGGACACCATTTCTTTCATCAGGGAGTGCTTGGGTGGGGCTCGTGTCGGTCCCTGCCGTGCTAAGTTTTGGCACACCACGGCCCACATGCCTGCCAAGCAAGTGTATTTCAAGCATTGAAATAGGGAATTTGCGGACTCCTAGGCAAAACATTGAAAGCATGATGTGGGGAACATTTCAAGCATTACTCCAAACTTGAACCCCACTTTGATCATACACTTAAGCATGAAGGCGTCCAAAAGGAAGGAAACTAGAGAAAAAGAGTCGCCAACAAGTTTTAGGAACTTAGAAACCGTTCACAGGGTGAAGGTTACACCCCTTAACGGTCCAATAGATCGTTAAGTCCAATAGGTCTGAAACCAAGACTGGAAGTTCGGGGATGAAGGTACAAATTCAATCTAAAAGAGAAAGAACCTGCCCTAATAATAGACCTCTACTTTATTCTTCTCGTATTCATGTGCGCTTTCTGACTAACATGCAATCAATAAGTTAACTCTAAACCTGTTTAATCTATGTTGGTTGAATATTAATGCACAAATAATTCTATTATTGGCGATCACTTGAATCATAATCATATTAACCCTAAACAAGATTATTAATTATTTTATTAAGCGTGATTACAAGTACAAATTCCCTTTAAACATGCATAAAAGGTGTGATCAAGCAATAACAATTAAAATCATCAAGCAACTTAATAATCTTAATAATAATAAACATAATTAAAATAATAACAATCATAATCATGTTAAAAATAAAGCATAATATTAATAGCAAGATCCTAGGCATGATACTAATAAGATTAATAACAAACCCTAGCATGTCACTAAACAATAAAAATCAAAGCTTTATCCCTATCATGATACTAACATGATATTGGGAAAGAAAATAGGAAGCATTATTTTAATCATACTTGATATTAGAAATTACCCTAAATGTAATACTAGGAAGAGCATCCTAACATGATACTAGGTTAAGCATCCTAACATGATACTAAGAATCAAAAAAATAATCTAAGCATGTTTTCTATATCATAATATCAATAAAGTAATTAAATTACTTACTTGGATGCCTCGTACCTCTTTCTAATAACAAAATACACACGTTAGTAAGTTCAAGGAAAATATTAAAATCAAACAATTAAATTAAATAATTGAAATAGAGATTTGGGACCAAACCCTCAGAAATATCAAACCTTTCAAGTCTAGGGCAAAGGCAACTTTGAACTTGGCTAGGTGTGTCTAGTGCTAATG